TGAGATACAAACGCCTGTGACCGACGAAAACTCGTCTGGTTAGCGCATATTGACAATTAATAACTATTAATTWATAACTAATCACAGTGCACCTGACTCTCGTCTGATGGTCGGACGGTTACGCATAGAGCAATTAAGATTATTATTACTTACTCTATGGGTTAACGGCTCACGGCGACTCAATTGCTTGCGTGAAAGTTGACAAGGTTTTTCTAAATAGAGTATATAGACCGATATGTTATTACTGATTTCTGTATTATATAATATCTTTTTAAATTTWATAAAATAACTTATGAGTTAKTATCATTATAATTGTGTATAATTTTTATTTTAGTACTTCTTTAACTTGTCTGGTATCTTTTACCTAAATATTAAACATTTTATTTCGTCGTGGTAGTCAACTMAAAACCAACACCTAAATGGCTGTCGAGGTAAAATTTTGATATTATATTATATAATGTACATTCTTATCTTTTAAAACTGTCTTTGAAATTGAATTATGTTTTAGAAACTTATGTGGGAACACATTTTAGAGAATAATATATTGTCCAGTTTTAGTCTTTACTTAAAAATAATCCCAATTCTAAACTTATTATTTAGTTTATTTAATATTTAGTTGAACCTACGACTGGGATATGTAGTATAACAACTGTATTTTAATTTAAAAAAATATCTCAATTTTAATACCTAATTGATTTTGAAATATTAAAACATAAAATAATTTTTTTCATAATAACTACACCACAATTTATCACCAACGTAAATACCTATAATCGTCATAAATTCTTTAAATCTTCAGAGATATATAGAATTTAATAGATTTTTTCGTGATTATTATTTTTGATTTTAGTCTACAAGTTTTGCATATTTAGTCATTGCTATTGAATTTTATATTATATTTAATATATAATKTAATATGCACATTGATATATTACTCTACTAAGTATGTATATTAATTAGTAAATGGTTTCGTTTGTAAATTAAATATAACAAATATGAATTCAGAAGCATCCATTCTGTATTTTAACTTTCAATATTATAGTAATATAGTGATTTGGCATTGCATAGGCTTTTATTGATGTTTTAATAATTTTAAAGTGAATTTACATTGGATTTTATAACATTAAAAATAACTAAAATATGTGGAATAATATGACCTAAAAATCTTAAAACAAGCAATGGCCCTAAAGACATAAAAATAATAAAAATGAAAATTTATTCTGCTCTTAATTAAAAATAATAATTGCACAAATGTAATCCAAAATATTCTAGACAAAAATACATAAATACGAGCTGTTAAACCAATAAGGAGCCATAATTGTTTACTTTTTAATAGACCGTTGGACTACTTTAAAGTAGATTTAAATATTAAAAAAATGTGGGTATTTACTATTTTTCCTATGGATTCAAATAAAGTATAATTA